ACAGGCAGATTGAGAAGGGTCAGTGAATGGAAAATTACTAAGAGGAGACATGAAAGGGAGGGGGATTCTTGCTGAAAATGGGCCAAGGACTTAAGACATCAAGGGTGAAAAATGAGGAACTTGATCACATATCAAGGGTTGGGGGATGACTTAGCAGGATTCTTGCTAAAACTGGACACTAAAGGCCAAGATTGAGGCCTACTTGAGAAGAGGGTTCAGAGGATCCTAAATTAGGTTTGGTCAAGGAGAGAGTCTTTATCCAGATAAATCTATCATTGCCCTAGAAAGGTAACTAGTAGATTCCTGTCAGAGGAAGATTAGAGTGGCTGAAAGCTTTCTTTTCAGTTCTATGCTATAGCTTACATGTGCAGTTAGAAATTGGCAGGACTGGAAGATTTGTCTTTTGTCTCCCAACAAACTCATCTGGATAATTCAGGGGACTTGTGAAAAAAGAAAAGGCTGCAATACCTGGTGAACTGTAGGGATCTCTGTCCCCAACCTGGAGTGCTTCTCTCTTTCTACTTCATGATCGCCCTTCTATTGTGGTGACTCTTTCCTTTCATTTCAGGTCCATAGCAAAGGATTGAAGCTAGGGATTTATGCAGATGTTGGGAAGAAAACCTGTGCAGGCTACCCTGGGAGTTTTGGATACTATGACATTGATGCCAAGACCTTTGCCAGCTGGGGAGTAGATCTGCTAAAATTTGATGGTTGTTACTGTGACAGTGTGGAACAGTTAGCAGATGGTATGTTTCATTCAAGAGATTTAGCCATGAGCAAAGAGAAGAACTTTGAGGCCAAGGTAACTGAGCATCCACAGAACTAATCTTCTCATTTTAAGTACCCAGTCACAATACTGGACATAATCACTCTTAATGTGTCAGAGCTCCTACCTCTTCTCTTCTTCCAGTTTGTCCATGCACTCATTCATTCATGCAATGTAAAATCCATGCTTGCCTAACCATGGCTAATATTGTGCACTTTTCATTCAAGAGGACTCTGAGTTAATTACAAATAGTTTCTAACTCTCTATAATGTCACTTGAGAAAGCATTCAGATGTCAAATAATCACAGAGAAAGGAGGATCTTCATTCCTGCCTTTCCTCAGTATATGCATTATCCCACACTACATCCTCAGAACAATCCCAGCACCCTGGAAGGTATTAAATACAATTTCAGCACAGAGCAGCTACCTGTCTCTGCTACTGGTTTAAAATATAAACATGACCCTTCCAGGCAGCCTTTTTTAAAACTATAAAGCCCCAGCTGGAAATGTCCTTCTTTCCCTTAATTTACCTTTTGTTGTCTCATACAGGTTATAAGCACATGTCCTTGGCCCTGAACAAGACTGGCAGAAGTATTGTGTACTCCTGTGAGTGGCCCCTTTATATGTGGCCCTTTCGTAAGGTGAGCTAGTGAGCCCAGAATCTAATAGAACCTTGCTGATAGATTTTCAGAAGTTGAGAACAAAGAAGATAAAGGTCTCCTTCAAAGTCCAACCTTACTTAACAGTCTCATCCTACCATCTCTCCCAAGAATCCAATGACTTCTCACCATCCCCACTGCTATAATTGGAGTCTAAGCTACCACTACTTGAGAAGTCAGTCATCTTTGAGTCTTCCCTTTGTCTCACGGTTCACAACCTATCCACTAGGAATCCTGTTGGTAACAACCACAAAATATATCCAGAATCAGCCCATTTCTTTCCATTTCCTCTGCATCCACCTTGGTCGTTCAAGCCACCATCATCTCCCACCCAGACTTCTCCCAACAGCCTGATCTCTCTACTTCCACTCTCCCCTACCTCCATCCATTTGCCAAGCAGCACCAGAGTGTTCTAGTTAAAATGTCACTCCTCTGCTTAAAACCCTTAACTGGCTTCCCATTGCACTTGGAATAAAATCAAGCTCCACTGATCTGTCCCTGACCTGCCTCTCCAACCTCATTTCTGATCACTGGTTCGCTCATTGCACTGGTATTCTTTCTGTCTCTCAAACACTCCAAGCCTATTGCTGCCTCAGGGCCTTTTATACCTGATTTTTGTTTTCTGCGTGGTATGTTCTTGCCTAAGTTTTCTTAGCTTCTTCTTAACATTTAAGTCTCTGACCAAACGCCACAGACTCATACAGGTCTTCTCTAAAATAGCTGTCTATCCAGTCATTCTTTATCACATTAACCTTTTCACTTTCCTTCTAAGACCTTAGCACGATATGGAATTATGTGTTGACTGGTTTATTGTCTGTCTCCCCTGCTAGAATGTTAAGTTCCAGGAGGGCAGGGACCTTGTCTGATTTAGTCACTATATCCCTAGCATATTGGAAATGAATAATTATTTATAGAACAAATCCTTGTTATTTTCTTCAAATCTCTGTAAAATACTTTTCACCTCTTTCTCAACACCTTAATCCTTGAATATCTCACGTGCCTATTTACAAACTTTTATTCATTCCATTAACAAATTATATACCTAGGATTCAGATTGCCTTATCATATGCTTGATGAGTTCTCTGTAATTTTACAGCTGTTATTTTTACTTAAGATCATTTATTATTTCTGATAAAAGTAATACATGTCACTCGTTACATGTTACTTCATTTTAGAAGTTTGAAAATACAGTGAAGTGTGCAAAAAATTTAAATCTGCCATAATCCCAGTACCTAGTTACCATTGGTAAATTTCCAGCATAAACAGTGTTAAAGCCATTTTATGTAGGGATTTTCAGTTATATTGCCTACTTCTGAAGCAAACTTCTTACAGCGAAGTTCCATTATATAAGAGTTTAATTTAGCTCTCTTCATGGAGACCTTTAAGCTCTAAACTAAAGAGAAGGCCACAGTGCCTCTTTAAATTGATTTTCAACTCACAAGAATGTTAGTAAAAAGTAAACAGAAGTTATGTTTCCACAGCCCAATTACACAGAAATCCGAGAGTACTGCAATCACTGGAGAAATTCTGGGGACATTTATGATTCTTGGCAAAGTGTAAAGAGTATCTTGGACTGGACATCTTCTAACCAGAAGACAATTGTTAGTGTCGCGGGACCAGGGGGTTGGAATGACCCAGATATGGTAAGAATGTGAGCCGTCCTTGGTCAAACCCCTGCAGTGGGCCTGTTTCCTTCTTGACATTCAAGATAAATTGGCAAGTTCCTGGGAGCAGGCTTTTTGTGAGTACTCAGAGCAGGGTGCCATGGAAAGTGGCTTCTGTCTGGGCAACTTTAAGAATGATTCTGTCTTCTCTCATTTGAATTCTTCCGTTCTTTGTCCCAGTTAGTGATTGGCAACTTTGGCCTCAGCTGGGATCAGCAGATAACTCAGATGGCCCTCTGGGCTATCATGGCAGCTCCATTACTCATGTCCAATGACCTCCGACACATCAGCCCTCAAGCCAAAGCCCTCCTTCAGAATAAAGATGTAATTGCCATCAACCAGGACCCCTTGGGCAAGCAGGGGTACCTACTTAGAAAGGTACTGTAATGTTCTATGGGAGAAAATAGGAATTGGCTCAGAACATGTTCTCCTGCCTTCTGGTTTATAATTCATCCAAATGTTTATTTTGGGTGTGTACTTTAAGATGGCTTTGTACCCAAGTACCAAGTTTGTCTTGGGCCTAAATCTGTCGTGTGACGATATGTACTGATCTTTCAAGAATATATTTTTTTAAATCTCAATATAATCAGTAATGAAGAGTTTTGCTAGAATCATTCTATTTCCAAAACATGCTACGGGATAATTTTAATTTTTCCTCGAAGTGTTCATTAGTTCTGACAATAAAACTGAATGTCACAACTAGCAAGGCAGTTTATTGCTCGCTACCAAGTTTTCACACCGATTTTCTTGGCTTACTTTTCAGGAAGACAACATTGAGGTGTGGGAACGCCCTCTCTCCAACTTAGCCTGGGCTGTGGCTATGGTAAACCTTCAAGAGATTGGTGGACCTCGTTCTTATACCATCAATATTGCTTCCTTGGGTCAAGGAATAGCCTGTAATCCTGCCTGCCATATCACAAAGCTCCTCCCTGTGAAGAAAAAGCTTGGGTATTATGGATGGACTTCACGCTTAAAAACTAGAATAAATCCCACAGGAACTGTTTTGCTTCAGCTAGTGAGCCAGACTACATAAAGCTTCCTTAAGTATTTATATTTTGTTGCCAAAGTTACTACCCCTCTTGTCCTTTCATTCTCACTTAAGCTGTTTTTATTCCATTGAATAAAATTTCACTACAGAAACCAACAGGGCGCAAAAAGCTCACTCAGAATTCAAAGTATATCTTGTAACAATTCCTTTACCTGTCAGGTGATTACCAATTATTTTCAATAAAATTGGAAGACTAATCATTGCCAGTTGACAAAAACTGGAATGAAATTGGTAAACCCAGGCTTAGTCATCCACGGATACAAAATGCTAAGATGCACTTCCAGTTACCAAAATGTATAGCATACGTGCTTTGCCATCCAGTTTTGTTGCTCAAGTATGAAGAGCTGAACATCAGTAAGAATGAAGTATATGGTAATATACAGAGAAAAGGGATGTAAAATTTGAAACTGTTAGGTATTGTTAAAAATGGAGATATCCCTGCTAGATTCCACTGGGAATTTTAATTCACTAGAAATTATCTTTTGCAGTAATTTTGACATGAAAAGAATTTGTCTACTAATTTTGAGGCATGTCAAAACATCTAGGTGGTATACGTCTGAAGACGTAGAATACATACAATATGCTGTGCCTAGAGAACGGGGCCAAAATTCCTCAAATGACTGAAGTAGCAAAGGTAAAACAAATTATTTCACTCTTGGTAAACTTTACATTTTCTATAGATAGAATTGTTACTGAGCTCACTCTGTCAGCGAGGTTTAGGTCTCTATTTATAACCCGTAGCTCTTGCTTTGAAACAGCAAAAAGGATCCCATGAAGTTGCAAGTGACTGAAGTGCCAAACCAGACCACAGCTTCTGATAGCTCAGCCAGATTCAACCGAAATGAACAAAGTACACGGAACCATCAGGCCTAAATTTCCCCCAAAGGGGAATTTTATTGACACTAGTTTATTTCTTTCCCAGAAGATCAACTCCGACCACATGAAGTGAACATATCCTCAAGATTTTATTGTCTTCATGATAAAATATGAAGCTTAGAATTGGATCACTTGGCCCTGTAACAGAAAAGAGTTTTGTTTTTTTAATTTTGCAAAGAATCTCTACTCCATCAGAACAGTGTCTATTCCTAAAGGGATCACCATCCTTTAAGGTTAAGTCCTCAATTCTTCCTTTCCTACTCACGCCAAAACCAACACCAAAAGCCTCACACCCTCAGCTATGGATCAAGTTATTTTGAGAGGACTGCCCGATCCTTATGTCACAATAAATGAATGGGCAGAAATGTTCACCTCTCCAAATAAAACTGTATAGAAAAGATTAAATCATCCACCCCAAATTATATACCTTTCTCTTCTTATCTCCTCCCAGTTCAAAATGCTTGCATCTCTTTATAGCCAGCATTCTCTTAGATCTGCAGTTGGGCTCAACGCATTCAAGCCTCAAGACAATCTTCTTTGTAGTTTTAGCCTGGAAAAAAAATTTAAGTCAAACCCTTCATAATCACTGAGAAAATCTCTTCAAAAATGAGTATGTTGGGTTAATACTACTTAGAGCTTTGTAAATAAGACAATTTGTCTTTAGCTGTAGGGAGAAAACAAATGTGAAAAACAGTGAATTTAAGAGAAAGTGTAATAAATAGCAAAGGTAGCAGGTTATCTCATTGCCATCAAGTTCTCCATTCACAAACATGCTTCTTATCAAATAGGTACTCATTATACTACCATGAACTTGGAGCCTTTCAGCTGCTCTACAGTTAAGTATTCCACAACCAAAAATGTATCATCCAACTAGTCCCTTAATGGCTGCTCCAGTCACCTGCCTGAGAGTTGGTCAGAGACATTTAACTTTCCTCCCCTGTCAGATTTTTGATAAACACAACTTTCACAATTCGTAAAATAGGGTTAACAACTGTTACTTAAGATCTATCAAGTCTCCAAAGACTACCTACAATTACATCTAGAATTCAACGACATTATTTTAACTTAAGGTACACTCCCCAGGAATCCTCAACTTTTTAAGCTTGCTCTCGTATGCAGGATTCTACTGCTGCTAGTTCACAGTTCTCAAAAACTCCAAAACCCAGCTAGAACCTCCCCATCTTCTAAACAAGTTACCTGAATGTGAAAACGGAATCAAGCATTCCTTTCAACACTTTGAAATCAAATCATTTATTGCACCTTAATGAACACTAAAGTCATTCCTTAATACTTTCTGGAACTAGGCTAAATGAAGAGCAAAGTGCCTGAAGACTGTTCCAAGCACTGTGTTCTTTAAGGGGTAACAAAATCACCTGAGGTCAAGAGAGAAACACATCAAGCCTGAGAATGACAGAATTCAGGAGGCCGCTGGAAGACCATTTTAAAGAGCTTTATGACTTCATGAGATAGGTAGCAGACAATGCAGATGAGCTGAGGAGCAAAATGAGAACGATTCTTATTGCAAGAGCTGAGGATTCACTAGGACATGAGAGAAAGGAACAGGGCAAAGGAAAGATTTATTAGTGTATTCCAACTTCAGTTCTTAGGAAGGCAGAGCACATTCCTTAACTCGATGTTTGCCTCTTCAGAAAAAAACAAAAAAAATATAAAACACTGCAATGGTAGAATACTGGAGACTAGAGTCAGACGGGTTGAACTCCCAGCTCCACTGCCTACTATGTATGTCACTATAGGTGAATGAGATAACTTCCCTGAAACTATGAACACATACTATGTACACTGCAGAAGTGTGTGGGAAGCATACCAAATAGTAATTACTACTCACCTTTTTGCGGAAAATCGGCTTAGTCTGCCCACCATAACCACTCTGCTTCCTGTCATAACGCCGCTTTCCTGGGAGAACGAAAATTATTATTGTATAACAAAATAATGAATCCCAACAGCCACATGGCAAAGTCTTCTTCCGGGTTTTATCCTGGGGTTTCCAGCAGAAATAGCAATGCCCAACAAGTGGGACGTGGTGGCGGCGGGGGAGCGGCGGTTCTAGACTCCTACACTATACTACTACACAAATGCCACGGTGTAACCAGATCACCTACAGACCGTCTTACCCTGCGCATACAGAGAGTCTTTGCCCTTCTTGTACTGTGTCACTTTGTGGGGTTGGTGCTTGCCACACTTCTTACAGAAAGTCCGGCGGGTTTTAGGAACGTTCACCTATGAAATAAACCGTTCAGTACGTGCCGTGTTATCAGACGCCAATGTGACAATTACGACCCAAATGATAAGGCGGCCCGCGAGGACTCGACTCTCAAACTCCTTGCTCACACACAACGTTCTACGGAAGGTGGTCCAGCTCTATATGCTCCAAGCACAGCAGTTTCCGACGAGCCCCAAAGTATTAAGAGAACATAGCCACTCTACCACCTAAGTCTACCTCTTTGATCCTATCACTTCAATTCCTGGCCCTGAAGCCTGGTCCCTTTGGGGCCGGTCCCATCAACACTGGGTTTCTTTGGCGAGTCCGCCCACGGGCCTGGACCCTGGGATGGCACCGTCGACGGAGGAGGAAAGATTAAACTGGATGTTACTGTGCCCCCACCCTAAAGTCCTACCATGTTAGCGAGATCACAACCGGCAGGGAAAGAAAGAGGCAGGCCCGGAAACGGAAGTATGTAGGAGGTTCCTGGTTGCTCTTCCTCGTTGGAGTCGGTAGGAGAGACATAGAGTCTAAAGTTCTGTGTGCATCGCCCTCTGGTGGCTAAGAGGACGATTCGGAGCCGCAGGCGGGATCTTAAGGAACGGCTCTCAGGCTGATGATCTATTGTCTTCGACTTCCTCCCGCCCCCTAGCTGTGGAACTTTTCCTCACTTCATCACTTTTGGCAGATGCTGATTAGGCGCAGCCTGAAGTGAAGGAAGCAGTGTTCTTGCCATACCCTCTGGCCAACCTCTCCCTATCCCGGATGGAAGCCAGGACTAGGGTCAAGTGGAGGAGGTCTCCACCGGCATGTTCCATTCCTGTTCTACCTCAAGGACACTGGGAACGTCTTTTACAGTGAACTGTTGGTTCACTGAAAGCTTGGAGGGAGCCAGTACTCGAGTTCATCTATCACATAGCCAGTTGGTCCATTCAACAAATGTTTATTGAATGCCTATTTCCGTGTTGGACACAATAATCAAATAAGCATGTTCTTAAGTGTGTAATTTCAGACTAAATACTTTATAAAAAAATTAAAAAAGATCAGTGATCAGCATTAAAGCAACCTTTTTCTGTTGAGGGAGCAAGTTGGCTGCCCTTGATTCTGAAAAGTGGGGAAGAAATTGTTCAGCTCCTGCAATCAGGTCAAGAGATAGAAAGTATCCAGTGGCTCTTCCCTTTCCGGTTTGAAAGGCATGGCAGGACTTACAAACTCTGTGACCAAAAGCAACCACAAAGGATGGTCTGAATATAAACATTTCTGACTAGGCAGGTCATGGCAGGTAATTATATCCCAGGCCTACAGTTTCCTCAGCAAAGGTCAATCTTTACTTTAAGTGAGCCCTGTCCATTGTTCTTATACATCTAGGATAACATACCTCTGAAATGTCAGAGTAATTTTCTTTTCTAGGCTCCTTGAAGGTACAAGCACAAACACCAGAGCACAGGACCACCAAAGCATGAGATCACAGAAAAGTACATTGTTATCTTGTTCCCCGCATACCACTTCCATATGCTGTAAATGTTAATAAACTAGCCTGTGCCCACCAATGTAAAAGAAGTATGTGTTTCTCTATTTTGCCTTTTATTCAATCCTAGAGATTTCCCCACTTTGCTTTCTCTTACCTCCTTAATCTACCACCAATGCATTTCAGATATTCCTTACATTTTCTCCTTTGATTCTGAATGCATAAAAGGAAATGTAAAACTGCTGCTCTCCAGAGCATTTTCTTTATCCATTCGGCTTTACTTCCAGGCATGTCTTCAAAATTTTGGCTCAAATAAACTGTAATAAAACTTTTCAATATGTTTGGACATTCTTTCACCAACACCTGGCAGAAGACATGTGCTAGGTTTCAAAAGAGTCCAGTAGAGAAAGACTCAGGTACTGAGCACTTAAAATGGATTGTCTCGTAAAACTTTTACAGTAATTCCAGGAGCTAGGTGGTACCATTATTCCCATTTTACAAATGAGGAAATCGAGACCGTGGACTGTTTTAAAAAATTGCCCGATGTCGATAGTATTTAGTGGAGCCAGGATGCAAACACAAGTGATATGAATCCAGAGCCCAGGTGCCCTTACCATTATACAATATGACTATTGTGGCCTGGGAATTATAATAGCTAACAATTATTGAGTATTTATTATATGCTAGGCATTATCTTAGCCACCTTGTATACTACCTTTTTAATCCTATCACCCCAGGCAGTGGGTACCATTATTAATATTTAACAGGTGAGGAAACTGAGGCACAAGAGGCATTAAATTCACTTACTCAAAGTCATACAAATGGTTATTTTGCGGAGCCGGAATTTGATCCCAGGTGATCTAACACCACAGCCTTGCACTTAACCACAACATCACACAGGGGAAGCAGGGGCAACTGCAGGGTAGAGGAGAATGAGGAGAGAAAATTGGGCAGGGATGCAGGAGGAGGTGCCAGTGGATTAGGCGCTAATAAACTATGAGAGCCTGAGATCTCCCCCTTGCATAACTCTCCAGGATCACCCACAGGTCCTGAGCTGACTTTCTGACCATCCCCTTTTTGTCGGATGGCTCCAGGCATGAGATAATACAAATAGGACCATTACCTACTACATTTCTTAAAAGTTTCTTTGCCAAACAGCCAGCCTGTAGTCTCATAGCATTTTATTCTCTCCAGGCTCTTAGGTAGTATCACTGACTGGCCTTTGAGGAGTTTCTAGAGGTTTTAAATGTTAGTTACTTGGAAATATGAAGACAGTAAACGTGGCCCCTCTTAGTCTAATGAACTTTATTTCTTTCTATAATACCTCATGTGACATGGCTTTGGTTTCGATTCCCTTCATAAGTCCTAGTCTCTGTTTTGGACATGCTCCTGCTCAGTTCTGAGGCACTCAGAACTGAACACAGGACTCTAGATATAGCCTGGTCTTGCAGAGTAGGTGGCCCATTTACATTCCTCTGTCTAGATATTTTACTTTTGCAGACAAGTCTAATATCACTTTGTATTTTCTGACAGCCATGTTACTGACATGACATTTCTACTGATTACTACCAGCAAAAACGTCTGAACCATTTTCACAAGTCCTACTGCTACTCCACTTTCACCTGGAGTTATTTGAAGTTCGATGTTGCTGCCCAATTATGGGATATGAACCTTAGCCTTGGTAAAATACACTTGTTGAATTTAGTTTATCACACTAGGTACTCAAGATCTTTCAGAAACTCTTTGCTCTGCTTCTATCATTCCATCTAGCTAACAACAACCTCTTCCCATTCACTGATTAGCTAAACTATTTTCTATAGCTCCCTAAAAAGGTTATTAATGAAAATGTTGAACAAGATAGCATCAAACACAGAACCTTATATTACATTGGGAATCTTTTTAGGTGACACTAGGCCATTTATTTGCACTATTTAGGTGCAATCCTTCTGTCTATCTAGCCCAAATGTATTAAGAGAGTGCTCATGGGAAGAAGGTGAGGAAGCATCTAGGTTTACTTTCCCCTTTCCTTTGTCCTGCTCTCCTTTGTCCGGACCCCCTATTGTATGCCTATCAAATCTCAGACTCAATCATAAGATGCACCTTGAGAATAGACAGGGCATGTGACAAAAAGTAGAATCTGACTAAAAAAAAGGGGGAAGAAAGTTAAATGTCTGTGACCAACTCTCAGGCAGGTGACTGGAGCAGCCATTCAGGGACTAGTCGAAAGGCTATAAATTGTCAATAAAATAGGAAGATCACGCAATAACTTGCTGCCCATCTATTTTGTGCAGATGTGAGGATTAACCACTCTACTATCCTATGCCTGTAGTCTCATAGCATTTTATTCTCTCCAGGCTCTTAGGTAGTATCACTGACTGGCCTTTGAGGAGTTTCTAGAGGTTTTAAATGTTAGTTACTTGGAAATATGAAGACAGTAAACGTGGCCCCTCTTAGTCTAATGAACTTTATTTCTTTCTATAATACCTCATGTGACATGGCTTTGGTTTCGATTCCCTTCATAAGTCCTAGTCTCTGTTTTGGACATGCTCCTGCTCAGTTCTGAGGCACTCAGAACTGAACACAGGACTCTAGATATAGCCTGGTCTTGCAGAGTAGGTGGCCCATTTACATTCCTCTGTCTAGATATTTTACTTTTGCAGACAAGTCTAATATCACTTTGTATTTTCTGACAGCCATGTTACTGACATGACATTTCTACTGATTACTACCAGCAAAAACGTCTGAACCATTTTCACAAGTCCTACTGCTACTCCACTTTCACCTGGAGTTATTTGAAGTTCGATGTTGCTGCCCAATTATGGGATATGAACCTTAGCCTTGGTAAAATACACTTGTTGAATTTAGTTTATCACACTAGGTACTCAAGATCTTTCAGAAACTCTTTGCTCTGCTTCTATCATTCCATCTAGCTAACAACAACCTCTTCCCATTCACTGATTAGCTAAACTATTTTCTATAGCTCCCTAAAAAGGTTATTAATGAAAATGTTGAACAAGATAGCATCAAACACAGAACCTTATATTACATTGGGAATCTTTTTAGGTGACACTAGGCCATTTATTTGCACTATTTAGGTGCAATCCTTCTGTCTATCTAGCCCAAATGTATTAAGAGAGTGCTCATGGGAAGAAGGTGAGGAAGCATCTAGGTTTACTTTCCCCTTTCCTTTGTCCTGCTCTCCTTTGTCCGGACCCCCTATTGTATGCCTATCAAATCTCAGACTCAATCATAAGATGCACCTTGAGAATAGACAGGGCATGTGACAAAAAGTAGAATCTGACTAAAAAAAAGGGGGAAGAAAGTTAAATGTCTGTGACCAACTCTCAGGCAGGTGACTGGAGCAGCCATTCAGGGACTAGTCGAAAGGCTATAAATTGTCAATAAAATAGGAAGATCACGCAATAACTTGCTGCCCATCTATTTTGTGCAGATGTGAGGATTAACCACTCTACTATCCTATGATTACTTTTTTAAAAAGTCCTATCACCTTAAAAATTCTGACGAACTTCTAGTGGAATCTGTGATCTATTTCTGCATTAGGATACAGCACCTGGGGCAAGTAAACATGGCAGCATCTGATGTGTCAAGGTGGGCAAGCAGGTCAGTCATTAGGGGCTCTGCTGCCATCTTGGTCTGTAGCCAGTACTGACTGAATTTCTTAGGAGAATGCTTTGGGAGAAGATTGCTGCTGGAACATAATGGAGGTGACCGAGGAAACATTCAGGCTTTAAGTAACAAACCTATTCTGGTTTATCGCTTTACACGATTTATGAGAAAATTGTAAATTAGGAGTTAATCTCTGAGGCAGAATCTTTAATGGAGAAAATCAATATCCACAAAAAATAGAGACGATCACAAGTCTGTGTGGGCTTGCATTCAGACATTTTTTCTGTAGAAAAAAAAATGCCTTCTTAGAAAATGACTCAGCAGGGGGAAGTCTTGTCTCTCCTGTCAGGTTCTGTACTTCGGGGTCCCTTTGTGAGCACTCTCCATTCTTCACTATCAAGTTTGACTGTGTGACCCGGAGTCTCCTCTGCCTTGGAGGACATGAGACTCTAAAGGCAATCTTCCTCTTTAG